AGAAGTAGGACTTGTTACTTGGATATAATCACCACTCACTTCCAGTTGTGAATTTGTTGGTGGGGTTCTGAAAATAATTTGAATATTTTATTTACTGTACAGGGTATCTGTTCCTTTGATTTTATCTCTTCCAGCTACCGTGCTTTCAGTTTCCAGGAAAGACCAACTTAAGGTGTAGTAGCTTAATCATATTGTCGTGTACTCTTATTACATGCAGTTTTACATTTTTGATCAGCTTCCCTTCTATCTTCTTCTTTTCTTGAAATTTTTGTATTCATTTTCAGATTTAATATTCCATGGTGTTAAGTAAATATTTGGCATATAAGAGACAGTACTCCAAAACTCAGTGCTGTTGGACATGAAACAATAGATAATGAACTGCAGATTGCAGAATAAGCATCGTAGACTGATATTGCCTTATGCAGACTTTTGCATATTTAGCTTGCTGCATTGTTTAATATAGGTGAGGGTCAACACTGTATTGGGTTCTGCTGCCCCACCTCTATCTGTCAAGCTCATGCAGATTTTTAGCTCTGGTTCAAAGGATGCTTCTGTCATTGACCAGGTGCTCCCATTTACTCAGAGCTGTATATAATATTCCACTCCTCGTTATGATTTATCTGCCACTACAAACCGTTCTCACCCATTCATGCTTAGTACACCTTAATCTGTAAGGATTTTGCATTTCCTTGATGCAGGAACTCAAGTTTGATCCTGAACATGCAGTTCATGTCCTAGAAAACTTGCCGAATAATATAGATGTTGGAAAGTACATCTTTTCTTTTGAGGTATGTTTTTCCCTGATTTTACCTTGCTTGATTCATCCATGTCTGTCTTCCCTTTTCCTAACACAATCTATTCCTGGCTTCCTATTGAAGATTTCTCTTCAGGATCCAGAACATAAGAAGCGATACATAACTGGGGGACGAACAAAAGTACCTATATGCATAACAGGAGTCATCGAAGTTAAGAATGTGGAGATTGCTGTACTTGACAGTGATATCGGGAGTATAGAAATGCAGAAAAAGTACTTTCTTTACTTCTGTTTTTTATTTTTATGTTAGTCATATAACCATATCCTTATGTTTGCCCCTGGCTTCACTCTTTTAAGCATTATTACTTCCAACTTCACTGGTATGATCGTTTTCTTCACATCCTGCCCTTTATACTGAGTTGAGTTCTTTTCTGTCATTTTTCTTTAGCCGTTAAAAGGATTCCATAAAACGAATATTGTGGAGATGAGGATTTTAAGGTGAATGTATCACAATACAAGAATGGATGAAATAGGAAATGAGAATTATAGACCTACAGGTGAAGAGGTGACACCTACCGTGTATAAATCGAGTGAAAAAGACTTGGGTCGTAGTTGGGACATGTCTGACTCAGACCTGAAGAAGTTTTGTCTACAAGAGTGATGTGATCCTAGACAATTTAGATGAGGGAGGGAAAGTAGGTGGACCAAAATTAACATGGTTTTTTATTTGTTTGCATTTGATCTGCTTATAGACGTAGCGATGGTCTGAAAGAAGCAGCGAAAAATGATTCATATAGCTGACCCATCAGTCAGTCGTATTTCTATTGTGGTTCTCGAATTCCCAATCCCCTCTTCCCCCTCATAATTTGTTTATAAATTATTTTGTGGGATTTTATGTGTTGTTTCACATGTTTCATCATTTGGTTTTACTTTTGTAACACATCACCATGCTCGTTTTTGCCTTTGTTTCACTATAATTCCTCAAGTCTCAAATAACATATTGTCTGCAGCTAACTGCATTGGTAACTATGACTATCGTATATTAAGCCCTTGTTTGGTTCAGGTTAAAATTTGATTTTAATTTCAAGTCAAAGTCACAATTAATTTTAACCATACATTTCACGGGGTCCACAACTTTTCAACCGCTCGTTCATCAGCTTTTATCAAAATTTACTAAAAATCTGATTTTAATTTATACCAAACAGGGGCTAAAAATCTGAAATTGATTTTACACAATTTTATACTCTTGGAAATAAATATTATCATATTATGCAAATATCATAATGAATTTAAAATGGGTGAAAAATATAACATTTCACGTGGATTGGATATTATTTGCATATTCATGTTACTTCCACGCTTCTTGCTAGCGTTGATGCTTTTCCTCTGAAATTAATTAGACAGCAAATTTTTTTATACAATTTTGTAATCCAGGCTAGATTTATCTGGGGAGAATGACGTTGCTTTATTGGCAAACCATCTCCAGAAATTGCGGTTATCCTTTCAATTGAGTACTCCTTCCAGAAAAGCTTTTAAGCCGCACCAGGTAGGTAGTCAACCTTGTGAGCCTCTTAAATAAAATTTCTCGCAATTTGGGGGTGTTAAAAATTCTGTTTCAAGCAGGCATTCCTCAAGTTGAGACATGAGAGTGGAGTTGAGCATATCTTTGTCGTGGGCAACTCTGGGAAGAAGTTTGAGTTAATTTTAGTAAGCCCTCCTTTGCTTTTTTCCATCTAACTTTTTCGACTATGAATTTAATCTGCTTAGAGGCTGAATGGGATTTTAGAAAATCAAACATTGTCCCAACCAGAAGTCATTTAAACCTTTGTGGTACACCGTTTAAATTATAACTGTTACAAATTGTTATTGTTGTTTTACTATTTAGCTTAATATTTTGCATTTTTGTTCAACTAAATTAAGTTGACCTAACATTAGTCATTAATGAATAATTCTATCAATGGTTAATGAATAGTTCCATATGTATAACTTACATCCACTTAAAATAACAATTCACTCTAACCATTGCACAATTTCTACAAATTTCTAATTTTGAATGTTTTTGTCTCGTAGGATTTTCTGGGACTGGTTGAGAAATTCTTCTATTTATCGGGTAAATATGATATTCAACTTACAGTTGGTGACTCTGTCATGGTAAATGTTATATAAAGCTTAAGTGCTACATTTGTCCTTCCCCACCCATCCACATACACATATCATATGTTTATCCGTGTTTCTATTTTTCCAATTTCAGGAAAACTCTTTTTTACGACCTCTGGGCCATGTTGAATTGGATCTTCCAGATGCACCTGAGAAGGCAGCTCGTCCTCCTCCACAACCTGTTGACTCATACTCAAGATATGGGCCTAAGACAGAGATAGCTCACATTTTTAGGGCTCCTGAGAAACGGCCTCCTAGAGAGCTGTCACTTGCTTTCTTGGGCCTTGTTCTTTTGCCATTCTTTGGTTTCTTGGCCGGGGTACCTCCATTTTAAAATTTCTGCACTGATCACTGTAATCTTACATACTAGTTTATGAGATTATGGCTAATATTGTAACCTTTTCTGCCTACAGCTCTTGTACCTACGTGTGAACCTGAAGAATTTGCCGAGGTCAACTGTTCCTGCGACATTTGCCTTTCTCTTCCATTTGGGCATTGCATCTGTACTCTTACTGTATGCATTATTCTGGTTCAAGGTTTGTTTCTGAGTTCTATATGTTCTTTTTCAATTTTTGTTCCATTTTGTTGCAAGTGAGTTTAGCATATTGATGATACAAGTAATTATTTGCCAGAAAGGGGTTCTGGGCTCTACGTTTATGCGTTCTCTATGTTCTTGAAACCTGTGTCATTTTCGTGGCAGTGGTTTTCTTAGCCGACTGAAATAGACTTTGTTATGACACGCTAACTGGTATATTCAGTCCAATTGACGACATATTTGTTTTATTTTCTGCTTGCAGTTGGATCTATTCACAACATTAAAGGCACTTGGGTTCCTGGGAATTTTCTTGATGTTTGTTGGACACAGGACCCTATCCCACCTCGCTTCGGTATCAGCCAAGTTGAAGTCTGCCTGAGATTCTGAACGAGTATGAAAATCTTGACCCGAGGAAAGCTTCTCACAAAGAAGAACTGAGTTAGAAAAATGATCCAGCTTTGTTATAGGACACGGCTACTGTCACTTCAAAATTTTCGACGAATTTTTTTTAATAGATACATGGATTAGTAGAATTGTAACACGTGATCATTTGCTCGAGGAGTTTTTAACTATAGACAACTTTATTTATGGTTGAATGGAATTAGTTTTGATTCCCATTTCTTACAAACAAAATCAACCCGTGTTTCATTAAGTTCTAAAGAAATTTACCACCGTGTTACATTCTTCACATTATAAAAATGGCATGGCATTTTGGATAGGACTAGTCTGTCGACTCAACAGCTAGATCAAGATTTACCACCCCGGCCTGCCTTGTGAGAAGGAGGGGGGGGGGGGG